CTTAGTTGTCTCTTCAAAATCTATACATTTTGAAAACATTTAAACCATATATGTCTGTATTTTAGTATACAATATTGGCTATTATCATAACTGAGTAGGTTCCTAACAAATGTTATCTAAAGCATTTTATACAAATTTTCTTTATATAATTGTTTAGCCATTTCTATCTCCGCCTTTTCTATTATGTCTATCTGAATATCATATCTAATGTATATTCATTAAGTACTATTTGTTTTGCCCCATCCTTATATCTAGCTTCTGTTTACCTTAAGAACCACCAAGTTATGCCTTTACCCTGATTAGTGATCCCTTATTTCAGTTTAATTCCCCTTTTTAATATATAAGATATGCCGTCTTACAATTCCAGTACTTAGATATATACATGCTTTCAACGTTGAGGACCACCTTAATATTTTTCCCTTTTTCATCTTTGTAAGTAACTCCTTCTCTTATTTGTCTTTTCCCAATTCTTGTTTCTATCTCTCTAAACATTTGATCATCCCTTGTATCATCTGAAAACATTTTATACACTTGATCTATCTCCAGTAGATCTTTATGCACTTGCTCTATTTCCAATAGATCTTCCAGGCTATCTTTAATTATTTCTGCTGATTTTCTCCCCTTATCTTCCCTTAACACAGCTAAAATTCTCCTCGGCTCTAGGGTTAGAATCAAATCTCCTAAATTTTCTCCTCTGATTTCTTCCAGCCCTTCCTTTGGTTGGCATACATTGTCCTCCACCTTCACATTTCCTTGTTCATTGTTCCCTGTCTCCTGTTGAATATAGTGCTTCTTTAGTTGCTCCTTGAATGATTTCACCTCTTTGTTATGGGATCTCACTATTTCTAAGATTGTTTGAAGGATACACTTTGTTTCATCCCCAAATTTCCCTTGTAGCATTATGTGCCAAGATGCCAAGTACTTGTATTTCAAGTGAAAGATGTCCCGTAGTTTAGAGCACAGTCCAGTTCCATCAATAATTGCTTCAATAAGTCCACTTTAGTAAATTGATCACCTTTAGGGTTAATTTAAATCCAGTCTCTGACGCATGTTGACAGCCCCATTCACTCAATGTTTGTATTAGACTTTCCAAAGTTAATTGTCTATGTTTTAGTATTCTCGGGGCGGGGGGAGAAAGGAAAGTCAAAACAGAGTTCCAAGTTTGAGTATTCAAGGTCATGTTCTGGGCTTTTCGCCAACACTTTAGATAGCCATAACAAACAGTTTAAGTCCCAGCGTTGTTTGGCTAAAATAATTTTAAGAGGAAAATTTCTTAAGTTTAACGCCAAAGTAATACCAAACTTCCTTCCTTGAAGTATAATTAAGTGTTTAATTAATGTCCAATTTATTTTCTTTGCATCTCTTTGCATCTCTTTCCCCTTCTCCAGATGCACCGCTGCTCTATTTAGTGGTGGGGCAAAGAGACACTTATTTCTGTTAAAAGGATTATTCCGTCCATGGATAATCTAGAGCAGTATAGTTAAGATTTTGTATCTCACCCAGTGGTAACGACAATGTTAAATTGGCTGATTTATTGCTTCTTCATTTGCTGGCTGCCGATGACTTGCAAGCAAGCTAATTCAGCTGGTTTTAATGCCCCTGGGGGGGGGTCCCAAACAGAATTCAGCCCAGGGGACAGAGCTCCGTCCTCCTGTTGCTGTCTCATCGCGGCATCAAGCCGGAAGTTCCCACAGTCTTCTTTTCTCATTGCTAGATATTCCTGGTTATTTCAGTCTTCCCTCTTAGAGTTTGGTTTCCAGGCTCCTGATCATCTTTATTGTCCTTCTCTGAACTTGTTCCAGTTTGTCTGTATCCTTTAAAAAGTGTGAATACAACACAAAAATGAGGCCTGGCTTGTGCTAAATAAAGAGGAACTAGTATTTCACATGATTTGGAGACTACTGTTAATTCAGCCTAAAATAACATTTGCCTTTTTTGCAGCCACATAGCATTGTTGGCTCATATTCATCTGATAATCTACAGCAATTCTAAGATCCTTCTCACATGTAGTATTGCTGAGCCAAGTATCTCACATCTTGCAATTGTGCATTTGGTTTCTTTTCTCTAGGTGTAGGACTTTGCACTGTACCCTGTTAAATGGAAGTTAACCAGTTAAATTCACACTGTATCTTGTTAAATGGAAGTTAACCAGTTAAATTCAATTCTGTTGTTTCCAGCGCTCAAGATTATCAAGATCTTATTGAATTTTGTTGTAATATTCCAGACTGTTAGTTATTCCATCCAATTTTGTGTCACCTGCACATTTGCTAAGCATTCCCTGCACCTCCTCATCCAAGTCACTAATAAAAATGTTGAAGAGTTCTGGACCTAGGACTGAGCCTTGTGGTGCTCCACTTGTTGCCTCCTCCCAGTTTGAGAAGGAGCCATTGATAAGCACTCTATGATTCTGTAACCAGCTGTGTGTCCACTTGATAGCTTTTTTTTATCTAGCCCACACTAAGGTAGCTTTCTGATCAGAAGAATATCATGAGGCATTTACAGCTGCATAAATTGCCAGTTATATTCTGGCTAGTAAATTGCTCAGCTAGGGTGCGGAATTAGAAAAAAAGCTACAGCTACATTCTGAAAGGTCACAGGGCATAATCTGTAGCAGATGCAGGTGATAGAAGATAGTGAATTCCTAGTAATTGTTTTGAAATTCTACCCACCCCAGATGGTTCTAAACAGTCTTCTGTCTTCCTATGTCTTTATCCCTTCATAGATTAAATTAAACATTCTGCATATAGGATAAATTTCCCTGCAGGCTGTGCTATATATATGATACATGCATCTAGTGTCTCCTCTTTGTCTATTGGGACTGTACTCTTGATTCCCAAGTGAACAAACCAGACAGTGATGAGCCAGAGAGAGATAAACTTAAAGAACTACTAAACTTTCAAGTCTGTTACCCACTGACTTAATCTAATTTAGAAGAATACTATAAAATTCGTGAAAGGGAAAAAATTCATTAGGTCAACAGTCAAGAGAAGTTGAAAGTAAAATTTTCAAGTTACTTTTTTGTTTTATTCCCTGTAGAAATATAGAAATGTGTGTTGTTAGAGAATTCACAACATAATTTATCTCACTGTATTGTTTATATCTAAATTTCACTGCCAGTAGTATAAAGGAATATGGCACATAATTTGCCACATGGGGCACACATTGGAAGAGGAGAGATTTTCATTCTCAGGAAGAGAACAATCAGACAAGCCATGGGGATAACAGAACTCTGGGAATGTGAAAGCAAGAGCTATATTATTACTTACAAAATGTATTTATAAATCACTTTCTTGGTCATACAGACCTCCCCAAGCAATGTGTTCATATGAAGTTTGCACAACTTGCCATGGTTAGTTGTGACTCATTTAGGTGCCAGAATACATCTCAGTTGTGCAGTCAGTTACGTGAATAGACACCCAGCAAAGACTCACCCCAGAACCTTGTCAATTAGCCACATAAAATTATGTGAACCAATTTTTTTAAAAAAACCCCACATTCTTTAAACCCACAGTAAAAACTAATTAGTACTAAATGTCTAATATAATGACAGTTTTGACTACCTGTCAAAAAAGCAGTAAGGGTGAAACCAGCATAACTTACCTCATTGATAGAATGTGGCTACAGAAAAAAAAACTGTTCCCATATCAAAAATTAAAAATACTTACCGTAGTTTTTGCTCCATAAGATGCACCTCTCCATAAGACACACCAAATTTTTAGGAGAAGAAAACAGGAAAATAAAAATCTGTTTTCTTCTCCTAAAAATTTGGTGAGCCTTATGGAGAGGTCCGTCTTATGGAACACACCCTAGGACCCTTTGGAGGCTCATCCTGCCCCCCCCAGGGGCCAGAGGGTGCAAAATCGCCACCTTCAGGGACTCTTCTGAAGCTTCCCAAGTCTCAAAAGAGTCCCAGAAGGTGGCATTTTGCCCCCTCTGGCCCAGTAGGGGGGGCAGGGTGAGCCTCCAAAGGGTCTGTTCCAGGACCCTTGTGAGGCTCCCCCACCCCCATGGGGCCAGAGGGGGGTCGAAATCACCAGCTTTTAGGATATTTTCTGAGGCTTGAAAGGCTCAGAAAAGGTCATAGAAGTTGGTGATTTCACCCCCGCTGGCCCCGTGGGGGTGGGGGGAGCCTCGCAAGGGTCCTGGAAAGCTCCCTCAGACCCTTGTAAGGCTCCACCCACCCACCCCCACAGGGCCAGCGGGGGGCGAAATCACCAGCTTCTAGGACATTTTCTGAGGCTTAAAAGGCTCAAAAAAGGTCCTAGAAGCTGGCAATTTCGCTCCCGCTGGCCCCGTGGCGGTGGGGGGAGCCTCGCAAGGGTCCTGGAAGGCTTCCTCAGCCCCTTGCAAGGCTCCCCCGCCCACTGGGCCTTGCAAGGCTCCCTCCATGGGGCCAGTGGGGGCGAAATCGCCAGCTTCTCTACATAAGACGCACAGACTTCACCCCACTTTTTGGGGGGGAAGTGCGTCTTATGGAGCAAAAAATACGGTATATCCTCCTTTCTCTTCAAAAGGATCCAAGGTAGCTTACTAGTTATACCAAACTCAGGCCATTCATCAGTGTTTATGCGTTGCTTTGTGCCTGCAACATCACATTATTTTGCATAAATGTATGAACCTTCTTATTAAAGTACCACAAAATCATTTTGCTTCACTGTAGGTATAATGCGCTTTAGAAAACTTATTTCAGACGTGGACTTCACATGTTGAATGAACACATTAAAAAAAATCGAGTGATGGTTTCTGTTGGAACATCCATTCCTGATCATGTTTAGCTATGTTCTTTCCACAACTCCAGGGCCTTAGAATATATGTTATCCAAAACCATTATCTATTTGTTTTAATTGCTTTTAGTAGAAGCTTATATTAGTTTGTGTGCAGTAATAATTTTAATATATGTGATTTCTGCAGGTTTTCTGTGTTTTGGCGATGCATAGAGACAGTGGGTGCAACTATCACAATGTGGTAGAATATTGATGTGCTTATTATTAATATTTTAGGAAATGGCAAAGATTCTCAACCATCCAAGAGTTTATGCTTTTCTTCATGTACCAGTTCAGTCTGCCTCTGATAGTGTCCTCATGGATATGAAGCGGGAATACTGTATAGCTGACTTCAGAAGAGTTGTGGATTTCCTTAAAGAAAAGTAAGTCTAATATTAGCCAAAAATCACGAGTAAGAGAGAGAGAGTTTTCTTTTTTTTAGTAGCAGTTACCTGACACTTCATAATTAAAGTAGAAAAGGGAGTTATTTTTCTGTGTCTTCAGACTTCATGTGTTCTCTACAGTTGCTTTGATGTGGTTTATTCAGTGAATTCCTAATCTATTTCAAATTACTTTTATCTCTGAACAGCTATATATAGAATGTTAAGAACATCCTTCATTGAAATATCCTTTAATAGAGCTTTTCAGAATAGTTGACACTGCATGACAAAAAAAAGAAAAAAAAACTATGCATACTACAATAACATAACTGGATAATATTGCCTAAACTTGCTTTTTGTTTCCTTTGTGTAGAATGAACTTTTCGTTCACAAATTATGCCAATTTAGGACTGTCCTTCAAAATCCTTTTCCATAATGATATGAATTATTTTGGTAACAGTTGAAAACTGTTTTAAAAATATGTTTAGTTGACTTTAACATGCACAGAGAATTCTTTAAGGAATACTGGCAACAGGCAATGTTAAGTTTGTTTAGACAAGGAACAATTCAATTAAGTATTGCAAACTCTAGACAAACTATTCACTGAAAATTATACTCATTGACCTTGTGTGAAATGACTGACTGACTTACAGTTTAATTACTTACATCTCTGCCCTCCCTTTTATTGTCTGAGTTAGCACTGCTTCTTTCATTATGAATTTAGAATGACAAAGATTTTTTGAACTCTTGAAGGGATCCAAATTATTTGCCTACTTTCAAGATGGTACATAGAACCAGATCCTGAGATGCAAATGTGTGAAACAGCAGTTATATTATAAAAAGGGACAAGGAAACACTGTAGTGTGTTTTTCCAGTGGCTAGTCTCAATGCTAATTTGACCATTAGCAGCATAAAAAGTATTTTGAAAAACATTTTTAGAATAATGTGTTCTTTCTTGGCAAAAGTGGTCTAAAAATAAAGGGTGTAATTTTGTCTTATGACCAGTCAGGGTGCATTGTGTTAGAAGATGTGATGGGAGACCATCTGGGAATCATTTATTCCTCTTCCTCTGAACCAACCTTCCTTAACTTGCTGACCCCAGAAAGTGTTCAGCTATAATTCCTGTTATCCCTAGCCAACAAGCAATTCTTTGTGATTCTAAATTCATTGTGAAAACAACCATACTATCTCTCTCAATAAATAGAAGAGGAAGAAAGAACTATAACTTGTCTATTTCTCCAAACCAGTCTTCTCTAACCTGGTATTTGTGAGATACGTTAAACTATAATTGGCATCATTCCCAGGCGATATAAGTGGGGCTAATGGAATTTGTAGTCCAGCTGATCTCAAAGACACTTGCAGGATTCTTTTAGATTTTCAGAGCAGAGAATGGAATAGAAATAATGTAAGTACATATGTAATGTTCCATGAAGTTGCATTGTTTTAATGTTGCAAGTTATGCCCAGGAGCTTTTTGGGCCATATTATAGATTTTTAAAAATATGCTTTTTTATCTGCCACCATTTTACAAAGCTCAAATTACTTTTTTCCCAATCAGCATAGAACCTTTGAAAGAAGCAGGGCTTGTTAGCCACCACTAAGATCCCATTGATTTCAGTGAGTCTACCCTATAGAAAGAAAGTTCAGTTGGACTGGCCCGTACACCAGCAGCATAACTTTGGATTTAGATGTAAACTCTTAAGTCTGAATCATGTTTGTTGGTGAAATCACATATATTATTTAGTCCTTGTAAACAGTGAAATATTGAAAGGTAGTAGGACCTGCTTTGATAGCTTGATTTTATTTATCGTTACTATCATTTTAAAATAGAATTAGAAAACCTGCAATTTTTTCAGATAAAGTGTCAGAATTCATTATTTTTAATGTACTTGACTTGGGGTTGGGGGGCTCCATATCTTCTGAGCTTGAAGCTGATGCATTCATCTTTTGATGGTTTGTTGTAATAGGCTCTCACTGGTAAAGCCACTCAGTGTATTTGTACATTGAGTAATGTAGAAATTATTTAATCAAGCACACAATATTCATATATTTTCATGATACCCAAATTCCACGGGCAGTTATTCAATACACATTAGTCCAACTTGAGTAGCTGTCTCTTTGCATTTTTAAACCGATAGAAGTTAACTATTTATGATCAAATTATTTTAAATGTAAGTTAATTCATATTAAAATTGTACTGACATGTGTAGTGAATCCCAGTGATGAACACTTTCCAGATAATGTAAGAAATCATCTCCAATATAAGGACAGAGAAGGAACTGAATCTGCAAGAGAGGGTAATATCTTGGTTCTTTGAACTTGTTTACATCTGTAGACCTCATTTATTTCTGTATTTAAGAGTCTTTATTTGTAGCCTCTCAAATCCAAAAAACAGCCAAGTATGTGTCCTCATGAGATATCTCACTTTAGACACTGCAAAATTAAAACATAACAGCAGACCCTTGCTGTTTCTTCCGGTGATATGTTGTATTAATAGAATACGTATGGATCTGCTCCAGTAGTTCCACTGGTTTTTCCTTCTTTCTCCACCAAGCTTTTATGATGGAATTCAGTGGCATGATTGCAAATATAAGCATGGGTTTTCCTCAAAAGTTCTGGGATGGGATATTGGGGCAATATTCTATCACATTGTAAAAGGGACCTCACAAGCTTCCAGACAATATGTTTTCACTTTCCTGAAAAGAAACAGTTTGCATAAAGAATTGTGAATACAGTGGTGCCTTGCTTGACGAAGATAATCCGTTCCAGTGAAATCACTGTAGAACGAAATCCTCCTCAAGCGAAATAAAAAAGCCCATTGAAACGCATTGAAAACCGCTCAATGCGTTCCAATGGGCTAAATACCTCGGCGTCCAGCGAAGATCCTCCATAGGGTGGCCATTTTCCGATGCTTATCCAGCAAAAAATCCATCCTAAAGCACAGCGGGGAGCCATTTTGCACAGCGGGTGGCAATTTTGAAACCCGACGATCAGCTGTTTTGATCGTCATAATGCAAAGAATAGGTTCCTGAAGCAGGGAACCAATTGTCGGGTAGCGAATTTTGCCCATTAAAACATTGGTTTGCGATCGCAAAAGCGATTGCAAAAACCTCATCATCAAGTGGATTCATCGTTAAGCGAGGCACCACTGTACAGTTCTGTGGAAACACTTTGGGTACTTGCCAATTGTTCATGCCTGCAGTTACATCTGTGTTGCATTTATAAGCTACTTTTAAGCTGACGTACCATGTAGCACCAAGAAATTAAATTCAGTGGATCAAATGCAAACATTTTGGGGAAATGCAGCGTTGAAGTGTTCTGTCTCTTCTGACTTGTTCATTTTTCTTTGAGTTGCTGACAAGTATAGTTTGTGTGTCAAAGATCTGTATTCAGAGCCCTACATGTGGGCTGCATACCCTAACTATAAAAATTTGTCATTAGCTCACTAGTCTGTTGTTTGAATCATTGGCTTTTGTCTATGGCATAGAAGGGAAACGTGTCTCAGAAAAGTAGCTTGGGGCAACTCTTCTATTGGTGTTCAGGTTAGGTTACACACAGAAACAGCTTAGTCACAAGTAAGTCAGACTCAGCAATTAAGAATTCTGAAGTCCCTCACTGAATAGGCAAGAATTGTAGATGCATTGTAAACCATGAACTTAGAGAAACCTCAGCAACTTCCTTCTCCTCTTTGCTTGACTATTCCCTTGCTCCTCTGTATCACAAACTCCTCCCTTCTCTGACAGCCTACTACAGGGCTCTTATTTCCCCACAGGAAGAGGTGACAACAGCAGAGCAGCCAGCCTGTGAGTGCATTGCATGTGAGTGTGATTTAAATCAAATTAATGTAAATCTCCATTTAAATCACTGCTCAGAAAGCCTCTGTTTAATATTTGATTTTTTTTTTCCACTCACAAAAAGGGTGTTTTGTTTTACTATAACCTTAATACATATTTTTCATAATCTCTGTGTCAGGGACGTGGTGGCGCTATGGGTTAAACCAGTGGTCCCCAACCTTGGGCCTCCAGATGTTCTCAGACTTCAACTCCCAGAAATCCTGGCCAGCAGAGGTGGCGGTGCAGGCTTCTGGGAGTTGTAGTCCAAGAACATCTGGAGGCCCAAGGTTGGGGATCACTGGGTTAAACTGAAGAGCCTCTGGGCTGCAAGGTCAAAAGATCGGCAGTTCAAATCCATGCAATGGAGTGAGCTCCCATCGCTTGTCCCAGCTCCTCCCAACCTAGTAGTTCGAAAGCATGTAAAAATGAGAGTAGATAAATAGGTAACACTACAGTAGGAAGGTGACGGTGTTCCATGTCTAGTTGCGCTGGCCATGTGACCATGGAAACTGTCTACAGACAAATGTGGACATTTTTAATAGGGCTTCCAAGAATTTCCAACATTGTATCATATTGAGAGAGAGAGAGAGAGGTTTTTGGAATACTGTAGGTTCAGCCGCAGTTGGAAAATAGGATAGTTGTTCTGTTATTAGGCCTGTCCATTTATTGTTCTTAATGAGGATATAACTCTAGAAATGCAAATCTAGTTTGAGAACTAGAAATTTTTCTGATAGTACTAGACTGTGTTTTAGGGGAGACAGCAAAAATAATCTGATTAATCTGTACAGAAGCAGAAGGCTGTATGATTGGGAACCAATATGAAGAACTCTGTGGAATCCTATTTAGAATGCATTTTTGAATGCATTGTCTCATTATAGAATTAAAATGTAAAATCCCTATTTCATGAGACCTTTGAGCTGTAACATATTTTAAATCGAAGGCATCATCACATTTTTTTTAGCAAAACACATTTTAACAGTGAAAAGTGCTCATGAAATCTTAAACCATCATAAAGTAATCTCTAGTCTTTAATGAGGGTTCTTCAATGTTGCTCTCTTCTATACATTTATTTGTGGAAATAATCTACAAATAAATGTAGTTATTTTCTTCCCCAGAAAAGCTACTCATTACTAGCCATCATTTAGGAAGTGTACCAAAATACCGTATTTTT